ATAAGTCATAAAAATCAATATGGTAGCTCATCACAATGTAGGAATGTATCTAATCACTACGTCACTACGTACCAAAATTGTTCGTTGGGGCTCCTTTATCATCACTATAGCAGAGTACCCCAAAACCCTATAATATACCCCCCCCCCACCCCCCCATATTATTATTTTGATGCACGTTGCCGATTTGCAAAGGCCAGAGAAGCTGGTGGTCATTGGTGGCGGCTACATCGCCGGGTGCTCAGCCCTTGCAGGTCCTTTGTGTAGCCAGTGTAGCGATGGTGCATTTTGGGTCTTGCTTGGTTGGCTCAACCAGACGGAGCGGCCGAGCAGATTTAAGGCTGTAGAGTTTGCGGGCTACTTCCACGGCACGGTGGCTCAGATGATGTGGGGCTGCGTGAAGCACTGCGGCCCGCGATCGGCAAGTCGAAATCCGCGAAGCCTTCCTTTTGCAGTGAGGGACATGGACAAACAGCAATTCAAACTTGAAGCAGCATTTGAGGCTATGGCACTGAAGTGCACTTGGTGTTCCGACAGGACTGCCTCTTTGCTTGCATGGGAATCATGGCCTCCTGCTTATGCTTTGCAGCAGTCTCGGATGTCGGAGAAGTTCAACACAAAGCCACAGCTTGATAAGGACAAGCCTCTGCGCGGCTTCGACGAGGACGGCTGACAAAGCTTACATGCACGAAAGTCCGCAGATTCTTTCTGCAAGAGCTCAATAATCGGACGTTATGTTTGTCAGGCTAGGCAAGACAGCGTCGACCCGACGCGTGCGTGCCGCTGCCTTTCAAGCCATCAGTCCACATTATACTACTAACCCCGACAGGTCCCCAAAGCCGGAGCTGCACCGAGAGAGCATCAAACCGAAGACAGGTAAACGGTTGTGCAGCCAAGGTTGCGCAAGTGCTGCTCGAGGCCCCTGAACTGTATCCTAGGGCAAGGAAGCGTAGAGCTGAGCATGGACTTCTTGCAGGTTTTTAGAAGTTCGATGCATCTCTTCTTCTAGCATTGACCGAGCAAGTGACGGTCGGCGCACTGGTTTAGCCAAAGATCCCGCACTACCACCGTTCTGCCCAGCTTTTGCATCCATTAGATTCATTAGATTCCATAAGTATGTTGCACTACCGCCTGTATTGAGTATGGAGTGTCCCTGAACTCAGACCCAGAGCAAAAATCCCAAAGTCCTGAGCCTGAGCTGTAACCCGCAAAGCCTTGTCAAGGACATCCGGGATCATTTGCTCGAGCTGACCAAAGCCAAGGGCATTCACGTTCATGCAGGCAATCGAGTTCAGACTGTGAGATTTGGGTTCTTCAGGGATACGTGTTCCGGGCGTGGGCTTTCATCTTCGGCCTTAGCCATGGGCTTGAAAGCTTTCGCTCGCAGGAAACGTTTATTTTGCCGAAGGCAAGTTTTGCTACATAGTACCGCCACGGAAGACCACTTCTTGCAGATGCATGCCCTTCTCCGATCTAGCTGTCGATCTGTTTATCGGTCTATCTATTTGTGTATCGATCATTGGCCGCAATCTAATGTAATCCAGTTTAAGCTAGTTAGATTTGGCTATCTACTGTATCTGTCTACCTCTCTGCCTAACTGCCTTTCTATCTAACTCTCTATCTATCCATCCATCCGTCGATCTATCCAGCTACCTATTTCTCTATCCACATATTTTAGCATATACATACTTTCTCAGAATGGTCTTATTTATTTGAACAAGCACGCATGAACATGCATATGTATGTACGTATGTATGTAGGTAGGTATGTTTGCCTGCTGATTATATATATATATATATGTGTACTGATGTCATTATGCATGTATCTGTGCGGACTATGTCAATGTATGTAGATGCGCCGATGTGTATGAACACGCATGTGCGTATGTATGAAGGAACCGATGTATGCATGCATGCAAGTACGTATGTATGCATGTATGCATGTACACAGGTGTTCAAGTACTGTAGGTAGGTAGGTGGGTAGGTAGGTAGGTAGGTAGGTAGGTAGGTAGGTAGGTAGGGAGGGAGGTAAGCAGGTAGGCAATAAGTAGGTAAGCATGTAAGAGGGCATACTAAATAGGTCCAACAGGTATTCAGGTAGGTAGGTATGTCTATATGTATGTGTTTTTGGTGTCTGTGAGTTCAGAGCCATGGCCCATTGCGCCCGGGAATTTAGAGCGGTTGTTTGACGTAACCATCTTGGTAGTCTTGACAAGCTTGGTCAGGGGGGGCAACATTGCCAAGCAATCTTGGTCAACTTGCCCCACTTGCTCGCCGATTAGTTTATCTTTTGGAGGAGACCAAGATTGCAAATTTGCTGGCAATCTGGCTCCCCCCTTGCCCCACTTGCTCGCCGACTAGTTTACATGTTGGAGACCAAGGTTGCAAGATTGCTCGGCAATCTTGCTCAAACAATCGCCCCCAAATTCCCGGCACACTGCCATGGCCCGTCTCCAAAATATTGGTTTTCATGCAAAGAGGGGGCCTCAACGAAACGTGACATCCATGCCAGTTCACACAGCAGCCCTGCAGGCGAGAGCCCCCTGTCCATCGAGGCTGGCCATCCTTCCTTTGTCCTGTGTCAGTCTGTCGTTGGAGATGCTAGGATGGATAGGGTGAAGCACGGGCACCCTTTTTCGGAATGCGCGGGGTGATTCGACAGCCGCTTCTGATTCTTTGTTTTTTGCAGGAAGGACCGCCGCACGAATGTGAGCAAACCAGTCACTCAAGGCCTGAAGCGGTACTTTGCACGGCATGCTTTCTCAACCGCTTGTCCGGAAGCTTGCTGGCTCAAGAGACACTGCAATGCCCTCGCCGCTGTGCCCAGGCTTATAGTGGCGTTCTAGCTTGTTTAACTTGCGCTCAGTTTCCTTGTCGAGATTCTAGCACGCATGAGTTGCCAAGTCGACCTCGAGACGATTTCACAACTTTGCTGAACTCCTAAGTGTCCCCATTTTCGCTTGCAAAGGCTAAAGGCTCCAAGGTTCCAAACAGACCTGAGGTCGCACGCGTCGAGCACCCTGAGCCTGTACCCCCACCCGACAATAAGAAGTAGAAGTAGCAACAGGTCGGGGAGGTGCAGCCTCTTCTCAAGCCTCGCACGGCTGTTTGCAGTGCCAGAAGGTCTCATAGATGAAGATAGACAGGTGACCGAAAGCAAATCCTCACAGCATTCTCCCGAAGTGACAGACTCCAGTTTCACAGTCTGTGGGCACCCCCGCTTAACCCTAGCAAGGGGCACTCGCATCCACTCCGCCATTATGAGTCGCATCTCTCTTGCTCGGATCGGATAAACGGGTAAAGTGACCCCCAAACAGACGCCCGAGAGCCGAAGCTTTAATGGAAACTCGAATCATCAATACACCGTGGTTTAGGGATCCGGGCTTAGGGATTGACCATCCAACCAAAGACCAGGCAGGACAGCCGTATATAATGTGGAAGTGTATATAGACTGCATCGGCTAGGCACCGTGCATGTATTGCCCGACTTCCTGTTAGCACTTCAACTGAGGCGCCTCATAAAGAACGACAGTGGCAGCGTCCAGGAACTGGCTAAGCCACGGGCACCTCAGCTGCCAGAAGCTTCACCCTCTCATATACCCGTGGGTTTAAGCTGAAGCTGTTTCATGGAGGGACTCGTACTTTGCATTGAGGGCCAGGGAAGCCTGCTACTGAGGTGACGCCGGCCACCTATACCTCGCCGAGAGAATCGGACAACGTGTTCGCAGGCGAGCAGGAATTGAAAGCGTCGCCACAGGCTTTTAAAGTGTGCGGAGTTAGGCCCGCCTCTTCTGTACCCTGACCTTTCAGACGACGAGCTGCATGTTCCGAACTTGATGCAGTGAGAGATTGAACATTGCAGCGTAATTCGGCTAGCATAAGATGCATAGAAGCCAAGAAAGTGTCGCATGTTGCGATAAGGGGAGACTGAGCAGGAAACACCCAACAAACTAGGCGATGCATGAGATAGACCTACCCTACCTCCAGCTTAGGCTAAGTCCTCTCATGCTCATGTTGCCCTGATTCGTTGCTAGCTGTCTGCCGGGATCAGTCAGCATGGCTCGAAATTCTCCGTGGCTCTCCCCCTTGATATGATTATTATTCGATGGAAAGCAAGCGGCAACATTTTGGTTTGTCTTGATGCAGAGCAGTACCATACCTTGGTGCTGCGAGGCGGCAGCAACGTGAGAACCCTCAAGCGTTACTTGTGCGGCTTGACAGGATACACTCGCTTCAGGCAGTGCCTCTTCGACGAGGCTAACGAAGAAAACTTCTGCGAGCTGGCTGATAGCTCTATCTTCGGCTTTCCCGCAGTTCTGTCGATTTTAGTCAAGGGCTTTGTCCCAAGCGACAAAGAACGGTATGACGAGCTTCTGCTAGCTGCAGAGCACCATCGTGACCACGACTTGGAGATGCTACTGCAAGAGCCCCAAAGGCCAGACCTTGTCGATGAGACTTGGCGGTGGTCGGCTCTCCACGGTGCCTGCTACTGGAACAGCTTGGACTGCATTCGCTTGCTGCTTGAGGCACGCGCTCACACAGATGCTGTGACGGAATACTCCCCATGGCAGGGGGACTCAGGTGCCACGCCCCTGGTCGTTGCTGCATCCAGAGGCAACCAGCGAGCCGTGGCACTTCTGATCGCTGCAGAGGCAAATCTAAACTATGGAACAGAGGTTGGCTGTTCAGCCTTGTTAATCGCGGCCGTCGGTGCGAATCGTGACATCACCCAGCAGCTGCTTTTGGCAAGAGCCGACGTGGACAAGACCACCAACCGCGGCATATCGCCCTTGTTCGTAGCTGTACGCAATGGTGACAATGGCAGTCTTGGCATAGTCCAGATGATATTGCAGGCAAAGGCAGCCATGGACAAAGCATCCAAGGAGGGGACCATGATACCGCTGCACGTTGCATCATGGATGGGTCATTGTACAACTGTCCAGCTCCTGGTGCAGGCGCGTACGAACGTCAACAAAGCCGACAGGATGGGTGTAACTCCACTCCACTTGGCTTCAGCAGAGGGCCGCACTCGCACTGCCCGGATCCTTATTGACGCCAGGGCGGACTTGAACATGGCAACCGTCAAGCGCCACACCGCGCTCTTTGCAGCTTGTGACATGGGTCAAATCGAGGTAATTCAGTGCTTGCTCGACGCAAGAGCAGACATCAACCAAGCTTCCGATGGGAGCGGACCTCCCTTGGGCGTGGCTTGCTTGCGCAAGTCTGCTGCCGATGTGGCCATTCGGAAGAAGTTGATCCAGGCCAAAGCTGATGTGAACAAGGCAGATGAGGAAGGCAATTGTGCTTTGCACGCAGCTGCCCGTCGCGGGAACCGTGAGGCAGCACAGCTCTTGCTCAAATCGAGGGCAAACGTGAACCAGGCCAGCTTGACAGGGATGACGCCGTTGTTGAATGCCGCAGCTGCAAATTCTTCCAAGGACACCGGGGAAGTAGCTTCTTTGCTCATCCAGTACGGGGCCGACCTCGATCGGCCCGATGGCAACGGTGAGACGCCCATCTTTGTGGCTTCGAGCACGGGAAATCAGAGGGTTGTGAGTTCGCTGCTGAAGTCCAGAGCTGACATCGAGAAATGCGAGGACGGCAAGCCGACGCCGATCTTCATTGCTGTTTGCAAGGGTTGGACTGACATCGTGAGGATGTTGGTCCATGCCAGAGCCAGACTTGATATCAGGAGGGAGAAGGTCACACCACTCATGGTCGCTTGTAAAAAGGGTCACCGTGAAGTCGCGCAGCAGATCATTGATGCCGGTGCCAACATTCAGCAATGCGGTCTGGATGGGGATACACCTTTGTCTGTGGCCACGTCGCGAGGTCACTGCTCAGTGGTGCAGCTACTTATCTCTCGCCGTGCCCATCTTGACAAAGAAGCGGAGAATGCCGCCACAGCCCTCTCGATCGCTGCTTGCAGGGGCGACCAGAAGGTTGTACAGGAGCTGCTTCGCGCTCGAGCACTTGTCAACAAGGCAAATGCCAATGGGGCGACAGCAGTTTTTTTTGCTGCCCAGGAAGGCCATGTAGGAGTCGTGCAGCTCTTAATTCAGGCCCGAGCCACTTTGGACGAGGTTGCCGAAAACGGTGCGACAGCCTTGTCAATGGCTTCTTGCAAGGGCCATGTGAAAATCGTGCATCAACTACTTCAGGCTGGTGCTAAGGGCGGCCGCTGAAAACCGTGTTCGCCCGTTTGCCATGCTGCCAGGCATTCAGTCAATCAGACATCAATGCTTTGAATAATAGTTTGTTGAACATCCATGTTGAACATCCATCTAGACTCCTGTTGGAGCAGGATGGAAGTTACTGTAGCCCACCTCTTCACACAGCTGCTGATTTTCAAAGCACATCGTATGGTGGTTGTGATTGCGGCTGTGTCAGCACACAAGGATACGAAAGGTTTAGTTTAGACGATCCGAATGGAATGAATCGCTTCAAGCTTGGATAACCCCGGGGCGGAATAGATGCTGGCATGCATGAAGGAACAAGCGGCCATGGTTCAAAGAAAAGCAGCACGCATGAGCTGCTGAAGGCGCCGGGAGAGACCAGCGTGATGTTTTTGGGCTGGAATCGTCATCGCCTTTTTTTCGCCATGGTCGAAGGTGGACTTTGAGAATCTGTTTGCTTTGAGAGTTGAGAAAAGCTATATACGTTCAGAGCTTATGGTGGCAGTTGCTGGCATGCGATTGATTTTCGATTCAGGGAAGCGCTGCATTAACTGCCTGCCTGCGGGATTTACCTAGTTTTTCTTCAGACGTCTCAAGCCCCACTGTTTGTCAAAGCTGCTGACACTGTCAGAGTCTTCGCAAAGCATAGCCAAGCCGAACTCCGTGCCTGGTTCACGCAGTTCAACGTTGTTTGGGTTTGAGAGCTTTTTACATTCAACCGGGGTACAGGAGCTGAACGACTCCTCCGTGCTCCACCACACATTGTTGAAAGAGCTGCGAGACATTTGCTCACACCTCCGAGTGGACATCAAGGCCACTACTGGTAATCGAGGTCTCGAAGCTTTTCAGGTCAAGCATAGATTGGTGCTATGTAGGGCAATGTAGGGGTGTGAGGTTTTGCAAGCGCTGGATAGCATGGCACCTCGGATGTCGGGGGATTGACTGCCCTGCTGCTGAGAGTTACGTGCTGCTCGTTTGTTTGTCAGCCGGCATGTCAGGAACTACAACTGGTTCCTTGATCGTGCAGCAGTGTATGAGAGTGATTATGTGAAGGACATCTTACGCTTTTTTCGAAGGGGTGTGAGATGCTTCGCACGACTCGTGCCGGCATGCGTGGTTCCAAACTGATTGATCCCCAGGTCGCGTCACTGTACCTTACCCAACCATCCTCCGAAGCCAGGGTCGACATTTTGCCCGAGAAAGTTTACCTTCGTTTACCTTGGAGTTCACCTTTGCTTTCTCTCGTTGTGTACGAAGTTTTCATCGCATTCCCTCAGGCAGATGTCGCGAAGCTGCTTGACGCAAGAGTGTGCGACGGAGCGGAGGATGTGAAGGCGCGTTCTGCTTGCTTGGCTGCAAGGCCTAGCCGCCTAGCCCAAACCCATACCTGAGTCCTTGCATCAAACGTAAACCTCAAATCGAAACCGCTCAACTCGGCGCTCACTCCTTGGATCTTCTGCCCAATTCGCAGCTCCTTCTGCAGGCTGCTTGGCTCACCCCAGCGCCCGCTTCCCACTTGAGGCAGGGAGCAGAGCCTCTTGGAGACAACAGCAGTGGTCGTGCGCGAGCTTGTGTCCCTGTGTGTTTGCGTCTCTGCCGGTGTGTCTGGATGTGTTGGGTAGTGTTGTGCAGTCTGTGCTTTTTGAGAGCAATTTTATGGTTGAGGGTTCTGCAGTGATATGTTGATACCTTCGCACGAGCTTAAACCGCTTCAATGATTCGAACATGGCCTGGCGACTTTCATGCAGGACCTGAATCCGCATGTAGTCACATGTGTATACATTAGGTGAATATTAGTTTAATGCAATATACATATAGTCATACAACTATAACTATAACTATATATATATATATATATTTATACACACACAGTTGTTTGCCTATTTGTTTGCATTGGAATATATATATATATATATACACACACATTTTTTTACACCACCCCATGCGTACATACATGCATACATACATACACATACATATAACATACTATAAGAATATCAAATACGAGAACACAGCATGTCATAATACAATACAGCACACGGCTACAACATGACATAGTATTACGTATATTATTTAACATGATATAGTAGAACAGTCTAATATATTTCCACAAAAGCTGACATACTATAGCATATCATAGGTTAGTGGAGTACAGTCTAGTACAGTAAGGTATGCTATGGTAGGCCATGGTATAGTATGGTATAGTACAGTACAGTACAACTACAGTACAGAATAGTATAGTATTGCTTACTTTGTAACAGATAATAGACCACGATGTAATATGTTCTAATTCGATACAATATAATGAAACATGCGCATATATCTATATCTATATATATATATATATGTATACATACATGCTGTTTAGTTGTAGAAAGTTAACATGTACGCACACATGCACATGTAATTTAGTTGTGTCCGTGTCTCTGTCTCTGTGTCTTTATGTGTGTGTGCTATGCCATCTATGCATCGAACCATCTATACATCTATACACGTACATGACATACATACATAAGTTTGTGATGTTTATAGTTCTTTCTATCGGATTTAAGGGTGCCGAGTTTCACAGCAGGATTCGCCGGGCATGTCGGCACAGGGTATGGGGGTTCGGTTCGCTGTTTTGGGATTGCAAGGGTTTGTGGGGTTTGAGGGTTTGGGTGTAGGAGTTCAGGATGGGTGTCCGGATTGTATGTCATGTGTGCTGCTGGTTGCTGGCAGCTGATGTGCTTTTGAAGGTTTCTGTTCTTAGTCGCTACTAGGCTGAGAATTACGCCCCAAAACTTGCGGGACCACGCTCCGGCTGCAACCCTTCACATCAACCTTGGCCCCAAGCTTATCTGTTAGTCAGACGGTATGAGGAAGATGAAGTGGAAATGCGGGGTTTGTGCACAAGGCTCGTGGCGAGTTCGTGCTCACTTCGGAGTGACCGTACAACTCTCCACGTCCCCGCGATCAGAGCCTCTGAACACGAAGCGCTTCTACCGTTTGGCTTTGAGGCTGGACTTTCTGCCGAATGCCATTCAATTGGAAGGCGATGGCAAACGGGCTACACAATAGACAATAGTTGCTTCTGGTTAATAGTAAGAATTGCCGGGCTGGGAAGGGCTGTTGTGCGCTTGGTACATTCATGACTGGTGGGAGTTGACGGCCTTGGTTCAGCACTCGAGGGTTGGAGGCTGAGGGCATGACCAATGTTTCTTCAGTTTCAGCTGCAGCGGCCACAATTATCGGACACGGGTCCGGTGCAAAGCCAGTGCAAACCAACAAGCAAGCTTGCTTCGCAACGCTTCTCGACATGTGGGATGTCGGAATCGGAATGCCGCATTCATGCCCGAAGCCCAAGCACCATGTGCGAAGTAAGTGGCCGCAGGGACGAAGTCACGCAACCCTGAAGCCGAAGAAGAATGGCTTTCGGTCGATGGGCTTACGCTCGAGGGTCGACACCTTTGAATTTATTCGACGGGCTTGTGAGGCTGTGGGTTCAGGGCTGAAATGCTGCCTTGGGCCGGGCTTTCGGCAAGCATTGGAGTCACTGGAGTTGCTAGCCTTGAGGGTTGAGGGCCAGGGTCTCACAAACGCGACAGTGCGACAGTCTTTCGGGCTTTCCGGCGCATCCCTGGCAGATGCCGTGGTCGACACTGCCGCAGGGGAAGGTCTGGAGGCCCGGGAATGCCAGGGATCTCTTCCTAAGCCTTGGGAGCGAGACATGTGAGATCCTTCTGGCTTCTTGTATCGCCAAGTTTAGGACTAGGAGTTCAGATGTCTTCAGTGTACACCTAGAAGAAAAATGCGGCAAAGCCACCAGGCCACCAGGAGCACTGTAGTACTCGCTTCAAAGTGGCCCTCTACAAGTGCCGAGCTCCAGCCAGCCCAGGGCCCAGGGCGGAAGCTTGTAGGAAGATCCTCTTTGAGCTTGATCCTGTCTTCCGAGATAGAAAGCCCCAAGATGTCCAAGATGGTGCCGGGGCTCTGGAAAAAAGGACCCTGGATCGGAGAGCTGTCGCAAGGTGTCCGACTTGAACGAGGTGAACGAAGCCGACTTTCTTGCGGATGACCTGGCAGCTGAGGCATCCGAGGGGCTCACGGCACAAAGGTCACCAACCTCGTTTCAGAGCCGCACTGGTTCCCTTGTCAGTATAGATCCGCCACACCACACGTCAAAGATCAAAACGATGAAGGTCCATAACGGGCCCGACGTGTGAAACAGTGCTGCAAATACAGAAAATCCAGGTACCTTTGCACATCATGGGGATAGGGAAACGGTCGGAACGGAAGAAACACCGTGACGTTAATTGAGAGGGTTTGTCAACCAAGCTGGGCTGAACAGTGCAAACCCAGTAGTAGGTTTGTTGTGGCCCCGCCCAGCTCAAAACCTACGGCGATCAATAGCAGTACACCGATCCCTGCCCCTTCGGTTTGCTCGCAGCCTGCCGCGAATCATGAAGCATAGCAGCACAACCCTTGTTCCCAAAGCGGAGAGTGGCAAAAACTTGTAACCTGTAAGGAGTCACATCACTTGCAAGAGCCGGGCCCAGCCCCCCTCCCAACATGCAGGCCAGGGCGGTTTCAAGCATGATGGGCATTAGTCCGTGGCAGCAAATGGAGGTACGGAGACAGCGAAGTCCGAATGATGCGCTGGTCGTAGCTCGCCCTCAGGCTCTGGCACATCTCCGAGAAAGCTCTGGCATTCGCCTGCCAGCTGAGAGACTTCGCAGCACAAACATCCTGGCATTCCGGCGGTGCCCGGTCATCTGGGTTTGTCATCAGCAACGGCTTCCCGCCTCATCAGCCTCCCCCTGCGTGCTATCCCAGCGGGTCAGGCAGCAGGCAGGACGGCTTGCTGGCCTAGAGTTGCCTGCTGCACAGGCACGGGCTTCCGGGCCACTGCCAAGCCTCACCGAGCGGATTCTGGATCCAGAAACCATTGAGCCTCAGACGCAGGCCTCTGAGAAGCAGGGCATCAAGATAATCGAGCATCAGAACGAGGTCAAGAAGCAAGCCCTGCGGCAGGATGAGCCTGAAAAGACTGACGAGGACTCCTACGATGATCTGGGCCTCAAGACGTTTTCTGCAGCAGACCTCGTGAACTCGGACTTTGGCCCAACAGGCGCGAGCTGGCGAAGCACAACAAGGCTTGCTCCCCATGCAGCTCAACGGAGGACGTTTCCGGTGGATTCCGGTGGCTTCGCCTGGCAAGAGTCAGGGAATGCGTTCCTGGAGCTGGAAGATGCACCCCCGACGGGCGACAAAGAAGTGCGAAGGCCGCGCCTGGAGGAGCCGGAGGTCTTCTCCGAGCTGCTGGACGAGATGGACCGGCTCGAAGCAGAGGGAAGAAGGTGGTTCAAAGAGCTGCCGCCCATCAGTTGTTTCGAGGGACTGTTTCTCCTTCTCTTCCCGCGGCGCCACGAGATCCGCTTCGTTTGCTAGCGAAGGCTGCGTTCAGCGTCCGGCCCAGGAGCTGCAGTGCATGGAGCGTTTGGAGGCGAAGAGCACAGGTGCTGCGGAGATCGGGAATGCCTTAGCAACAGCCACTTCCTTGCCGCTAACACCACAGAGCTTCAGGTTTCAGTATGGCTGGTGGAGGTGCAGTACACGGGGAAGTGCCTAGCAAAGCCGGAATCTTGAGGGCCTTTCGCTCTGCTCTGCATGGGATGAAAAGACTTTGGAGTCGGCAGCGCTGCGGAGCTTCCTCTTCCAAGACGCTTCAGCGTGCTACTGGCTAGGTGAACGATATGCGGATTTCCTCCACTCTGTGACTATGATCCAGGCTGAAATCTGCCGGTGACGGAAGTTTGGCAGAGTATCCAAATGCACTTGACAAAAATTGGTATTGCTGCGTGAGTAAGTAAGTACCGTACTGAGGAGACCGTGCGTAACAGCTGTATCGCTTGGTGTAGTGGAGCAATGCCTTTTCGATGAGCTAGGGCCTGTACGGGTGGTGCCAGGGTTTAGATGGTTCCGGTGGCATGCGTGACGGAGTTGTGTGCAGCCTTGCCTGCCTCGTGCGAGAGTGAGACTCGAAGCCGCCGTAGGTCAAGGGCCGAAGTCGCACGGCTTGGACCGAGAGTCGCGATGTTTCGAAGAAGTCGGCCAAGTCGCAGCCACCTGGCCTTTGGTTGTGAAGGGTCAGGGCTAGGGCTTGCAGGAGTTAGGAATTTAGGGGAGTTGAGTGTGTGGGCTTTGGGAGTGAGACGCAATTTATATAGGCGCTTTGCATTTAAGTTTAGGAGTCTAAGTTTTCAGTTTAGGTTTGCGGGTTCAACGATTCAGGATGATTGGTTTTGGGTTTTTGAGGGATGAATCTGTTTGTGTTTGCTTGTTTTGGGCGGCGAGGGAGGGTGGGGAATCCCGGAAGGGGCTGCCTGCTTGAAGGCTCCAGGTGGTACATCGGATGTCAATCAGGGTATAGGCTATAGGGATCTTCCGAGTTGCGGTTTTGTGGTGTGGGGTGGATCCGCGTCTGATGCCTTGGTGCGGCTTGGAATACGCCTATTCCAGCTTAAGCCAACGTAGCAGTGTAGCCTTGGTGCAGTTTTCAGCTTTGCAGAGCACGCACACTCAGGGCCACTACCAACAGGACGGCCGAGAGCAGCAAGGACTGTCTTGCCTCGAAGCCACTTGGGCGGTTGCTCTCCAGGGACAACAACCCGCCCCCCACTGATTGCATTTATGAGAAGCTCCAGAAGCTGCCAGGATGGTCGATCAGCTTGGTCCCAGGATTCCAGAATGCCACCCTACCCCAGTGGCCGGCGGAAGTACCTGTCCTCGGTAGCACTTTGTCTGCACACAGATGGTGATAGTACGGGCAGGTGCACTCAGCTGTGCGTTCGTGACCTTGACCATTTCGGCCCGCCAACCGCAAAACAGCGATAGGAAGCTCCGGGAGCGGTGGTTTGTTGTATGCTGAGCTGGCTTTGGGCGATGCTGTCGTTCTTGCACGACACGGTGTGGACCTGGTTCCTGAAAACGCGCTTGGGACTATTGGAAAGTGCCGGGACCCGGGGCGATGTCCTGCTGCATGTCACAGCCTCTTTGATGGGAAACCATCTTTCGATGTTTTTGCCTTTCTTCACGGTGGGTCCAATCAATATACTGTAGTTAGAAGCTGTTTGCCAATTTCCGAGATGGTTTCTTCGCCTATGCGAACTCAGGATTCTGAAGAGAAAGCTGGCAATTGGCAGTCTGTATTGTTGCCGCGGGAAGAGCTTCCTCCCAAGAAGCCAGGCACTGTCCGACTGGTGCTTGTCTCAGACACGCATGAAAGGCATTCTGGCATCTTGCTACCCCCGTGCGATGCCGTGCTGCACAGCGGCGACATTCTTGCAAGCAGCCGATGGGCGCCCCAGAGTCACGCTGAGGATGTCTTGACGGATTTTGGGAATTGGCTTCGTCTAACTAACTGCTCCTCCAGATTCGTCATTGCTGGCAACCATGACTACTGGATCGAACACCTCGGACAGGAGGCAGTCCAAGAGCTGTTGGGGGATGGTGTGCAGTATCTTGAGTTCTCCTCCGGCTCTTTTACTGTGGAGCTGGACCCCTCCAGTCAAAGCCAAGTGGAGGTCTCGGTCTTCGGAGCCCCAGTGTCAGCTGGCAGCAGCCCCAACCGAGCCTTTCAGCATGCGGAGGCATTGCAGCAGCTGGAAGCCAGCTTGCCCAACAAGTCGGATATCTTGATGACACACGGGCCGCTCCTCGCCGGATCTAGGAAAGGACTTCCTGCCATTGCCAAGGTGTTAGAACACTTGCAGCCGTCTTTGCACGTCTGCGGGCATCTTCACTGGCGCTGGGGTGCCATCATTCCCATGTCGGAACAAGTGCAGGCGACGGGAGTTTCCATAAATGCCTCTATCATGCGGAGTCTCGGAAAACTTCAGGGTCAACGCCCTCTCAACGCTCCGATTGTTTGTGATCTGCAGCTTCCAGACAAGCTTCCGAAGAGCATGGCCAACGGCACAACTAACGACACATGCAGCTAGGTCAAAATGGCTGTGCCGTTTTGCTCGATTGTTGATCTGTGATCTGTCTTTGGCCAAAGGCCACGGCAGTCGAGCCCAAGGGCGACTGACCAATGCAGCACAATCCGTAGCCATGTGGTTGGTGTGTTCAGACTTCAGACAAGGAACAGCTTCAGGTTTACAGTATTTCAAGACTTCGGATAATTTCGTGTTCATGACGGTCTTCTTGCAATCCAAAAGCTGCAGCTCCCGAGAACAGTGCACCGCACATGATTTGACCTGGAGCTCACCCGGCCGTGTACAGATGGCCTGACATGAAAAGCAAGGCACAAAATCCGGCGTAAGCATCACCGGGGATGTTTGCGGAGGCGATTTGTTCACCAGGTGTGTAGACGTGTAGCCATCGCACTGTATTCGGGTATGTTCCAAGCCGCACATGTTTCCTTCCCGTCGCTTCGTGACCGACCGCCCCGATGTAGTAGGGATTCGATCCATCCGCTGCTGGATCATGTGAGTTCTCCAACGGCTCACTGAAGCAAGATCCCTCGCCCGCAACGCTTCCAAGGATTTGTGCCAAGCTCTTCAGGCCCCGTCCTCAGCTTCTGAGCCTGTCCGAAACCGTTTCGGCAGCAATTTTCTGGCACCTGCTTTCGCGACAGAGGCGCAACAGGGGGCCAGCTGGCCGGAGAGGAAACTGGGCTGCACTGGCACTTGCTTACCCGTCTCCAGGCCAATGCAGAACCAGGGCCACGCCGGGGTCGGCACCAAGCAAACCCGCACAAACACAGCACAGAGCTCCGGCAAGAAAATACTCGCCCGCGCCCAGCTCGCAGGACTCTTTTCGACAGTTTCCCAGGGTACTTGCCTTGGACTTCCTGAATCTTCAGGGGTTGTCCTTTGCTCCGCGGAGATTTGGTATCTAGCACGACAGGGCTGTCGCTCTGGGCGTTGTTTCGGGATGCTAGGCTAATTCAGGGGGTTGCAGTATTAATGCATCGTGTAGCTTCTTGCAGCAAAGGCTCGTCACGCACGACTACTTCGACTACGCCTCTGGCCCGATCTTGCATAGTTTGGCTGAAGCGTTTAGGGCCCTATAGGGTTCAGAGAGAGAAGACCGTTCGCTTGCAGATGAGTTGGCGGAGGTCCGCGTGCAGGGAGAGCAGATATGCTCAGCCTTAGCGGTAGTTTCGGTCAGCAGCGACTTTGGCACAGGGTTATCACTGTACCTGGCTACATTCACACCCCAGAAATTTGTTACCTACAAATCCACCAGGCAAAGCAGGCTGAGCAGAAAGACGACGACAGATCTAACTCCCAAGATGCTGAGGTTATGGGCCTGATCTTGATGCTGAATGCCATCCTGGTTGGAATACAGGTTGTGCCTAGGATGCAGCCGTTGAGCTTTGTAGGTTGGGGGTGCAAGTCCGATGTTCGATTCTGTGCCTGGCCATGCTCGATCTGGCCAAGACTCGTCTTCATTGAAAGCCTAGGCATTTAGCTGAGTCTAGCTTATTCGTATGATATGCGTTTCACACCCCACCGCCGGATGCCTCATGAACCCTTCAGACCATGAAAACTCCACAACCTCAAGGCAGGTTCCGGTAGCCCTGAAGCTTCGGATGCTCCCCAAAGCTTGGAGAGACCCGAAGCCGGCAAGTTCTAACGCGTGTCATCAGTTGTAGATCCTGGCGCAATTCATTGCGAGGAGGCGATAGAGTCTCCGATAGAGTCGAAATTCCTCAACTTCCACTGTGAACCGAAGCGACACTACGTTGAACCCGGAGAATCAAGCAGCTGTAGGACCTGAAATGCGCTATCCTTGTTTGGGACCTCAGGACGTGGCTTCGCAGCTGCCCAGTCAGGAGCTCTGTGTCCTCAGGATCCGTAGGTCAGGTCGTCCGAAAGCTTTGGCTTGAAGTAGATAAGGTGTATCGCGGGTCCATCTCCATATATGGTCCCGTGTCGCGTGTCGGTNNAGTGTTGTGACTTCTGAAGCTATGCATTTTCGTCGTGTCCAAAGTGGCGACATTCACCTGGAGGGGCCGTGGTTTCGGTCTGCGCCGCGCCCAGCTGCAGATCCTCAACCCTAAACCCTTCACATCTGTGCACGAAAGCCCGAAACAACCCCACTGCCACACCACAGGGGGGTGCGGACGTAAACTTTAAACCTCAAACCCAACACCCACCACCACGCCACAGGGGGACGAGGGGGGCTTCAACAACCCAAAACCCACGACCACACCACGGCAGCCAAAATCCTCGTGGTCGTCACTTTTGTCTCAAAAATGCTAACAGTCACATGGATGGGCCCCGCGAACACGCGATCGTCGTGAGTGTTGTGACTTTTGAAGCTGTGCGACTTCGTCGCGTGTCCAAAGCGGCGACACTAACCTGGATGGGCCATGGTTTCGGTCTTGCGCCCAGCTGCAGACCCTCAACCCTAAACCCTTACATATCTATATACACCTAAACCCTATAAACAGGGGGGGGGGTGCGAGCGCAAACCTGAAACCCTGAACCCAACATCCACCACCACACCACACCACGCCACAGGCGGCGAGAGGGGGGTAAACTCTAACAACCCACAACCCACAACCCACCACCACACCACAACCCCAAACCCACGACCACACCACAGGGGGAGGCCGGAGCCAGCATGAGCCACCCACCTTTACAGGGAGGGCCGTGACGGAGCATGGCATACACCACAGCCAGGTGAAGGGAAGCAT